TGGGGCCTCCTGGCGGCGCCTCCGGCGCCGACCCCTGGCGCGCTCCTCGCGCCAGGGAGGGGGGCCCGGCACCGATCCACGAGATCAGCGCGGACCTCGGACAGTTTGTATCTTTGCCATTGTTTGTTCCTCGAGTGCCCCGTCTCGCGTTGGCATCGCCCGAGGCGACGTCGATCCTCGAGCCAGGAAGGGTACGGTGCATACTCCGGATTCCACAATAAAGTGGTGGGGGTCACGTCACATTTGGGGGGGTCTGATTTGAGCTCTCTTGAGGGTTCGGGGGGGGGGTCTGGGCAAAGGGCCGCTCTTTCGTGGATGGTCTGGGGGGGTCTCAAACTTCTCGTCTGAGAGGGTTGTGACCCCCTCCCCTTTCTTACGAAATCTGGAGTAGGTGTTCGGCCCCCAGGACCGAAAAACAAGGTACCGCACCGCACTAGAACTGGGCCCGAAGGGAGTCCAAACATGGTCCAGTGCGTGGGCGAGGGCGCGCTCCAGAGAGGGCCTCGTTTTCGGCGCGTTCCCTTTACCTCTTCCTCCTTCGCCCTCCTCCTCCTCCTCCTCCTCCTCCTCCTCCTCCTCCTCCTCCTCCTCCTCCCCCTCCTCCTCCCCCTCGTCCTTGTTCCCCCGATTCCCACATTTCGACGAGCGGGCCTGGCCAGAGGAGCAAGAAAGAGCGGCGCCAACATTGGGCGCTCGAGATTGAGACGGCTGACCCAGACGGTGATTGGAAAGCGCGCAGTGGCAGTTTTTTTGCAGACTCTAACCGACGGCTTTGATGCGCGTGTGAGCGAGCTGGTGGAGACGGAGGTCAATGCAATCGCATTCCCAGGCGAGCTGCTCGCGTGAAACGTGTTGAAGCCAACAGGTCGGCTCCTTTTCTCCTCCGCTCCTCTGCATCTCAGCTCCCTCCACCATCCCTTGTGTCTGCCGTCTCCACCTCAGCGTCCCGTCTCCAGCGTTGCAGCCCCTGCTCTTCTTTTTATAAGCTGCTCTCCATACCAGCTCCTCCTTCTCCTCAGACCCCCGACTGCAATGTGGACCCCCCTCAGGTCTGGACCCCTCTTCCGGGACCGTCTTTTCCTCCCGCCCGGTAGGGCCCCCAGCCCGGAGGCCCAAGGTGACCACAAACCACCCACAGAGATCGATGTCTTGATTTTGCCGGTGCGGTCGGACCAACGTAGTTATACGATCGGAGTCGGTTCGTAGAGGGTAATCGGAATGCCCTCCGTGGTTGTTGGATGCTCTTGTGCACCTTGGGGGAGAGTGCCCTCGAATGTTCTCCAGTTTGGCCGGCGGAGGGCCCCATGTCCTTGGGGGATGTTCTTCCCTCCCGGGTCCGGCCGCGCGGCCCCCCCCCCCGGAGAAGTCCCGACCCTGTCTCGAGGGCCCGCGTTGGCTCCCGAGCCGCCTTTTTGCCGAGGGCCCCGGGGACCGGCGAAGGGTCCCTGCGAGAGGCCGAGAGATCGGTGAAGAGAAGCGGAGGAGGAGGCGGAGCAGGAGGAGGATGAGGAGGGGGAGGAGGAGGAGGAGGCGGAGGAGGAGGAGGGGGAGGAGGAGGAGGAGGAGGAGGAGGAGGAGGAGGAGGAGGAGGAGGGGGAGGGGAGGAGGAGGAGGAGGAGGGGGGAGGGGGAGGAGGAGGGGGAGGCGGAGGAGGCGGAGGAGGAGGGGGAGGAGGAGGAGGAAGAGGAGGAGGAGGAGGAGGAGGGGGAGGAGATCGGCGAACGGGCTGGGCGTGTGCCTCGCGTCGCTTTGGCGGGCCAGGGAGCCGAGAGGAGCTCGGCAGAGAGGAGCCCGGCGTACAGGCGCGCCACCAGCTTCCCACAGCGCGAGAGTCGGCCAGACTCAGGAGGGAAAGAAACACACAGACACACTTAATCGTCGACTCCCAGGAAAATATGGGAAAATATGGGAAGTGGGGGGGAAGACGAAAACCTAGAACATATGGGAAAATATGGGGAATCCTGTTATTTGTGTCTATTAATTTGTGTGTCCCAGGGCCCCTCCATAGACGTAACAGTGACCTTTCGCCGGAGTGACCTTTGGTGCGGGCACAGATGGGCCCTCAGATGGCCGAAAACGGAGCGGTAGCAGCGGCCTGCGCGTCCAGGTTTTTGGTCTCCCCGCGGCCCCCCAAAAGCCGCGCACCAGAGGTCACTCTTGCCCAGGGTCACTCTTGCGTGTAGCCGAGAGAGGGTGGGGCATCTGTGAACTCTAGGCCTCCCAGATGGGGTCCGAGTAGATGGTGCCGGAGGATCGCGCCGTGTCGACGATGCATCGCCGATGCGGCTCGATGCGGAGTCCGGTTTTCTCCACGCGGACGTCGCCGATGCAGCGACGACGTTGCCGATACATCGCCAGTGCATCGCCGATTCATCGCCGATGTGTCGCCGATGCGGCGCGATTCTCCGACCCCATCTACTCCGACCCCACTTAGGAGGCCTCTATAAACTGAGCTCCGCGGCCGACCATGCGTCGTGGTGTATAAGATACAGCGGGCCACTCCTGCAGTGCCGTTTGTAATACATGCTCCGCGTGCGGATCGTGTATTTTAAACATGCGGGGACTTTCTATTAAAACCAACGATGCGTTCATGCATACATTTATTCATAAATTAGCCATGCATTAAAAACTGCCCTGCAGTGATCTCGTCACGTATAAAGTAGCCATAAATCAGCCATGTATTCATACATCCCATGTTTTTTAAACATCCCCTGTCTGAAGAGCTGCCCTGTAGTGATCTCGTCACGACGCCGAGGGGGTGTCCGGGGCCGCCCTCCGACGCGCCCAACCAGTGGCACACGCTCCCTCGACTTCTCGGCGGCCTGCGCCGGGCCCGGCAAGCCCCCTGGCGGCGCCCCTCCTGGCGCGGCCCCTGCCCCCGCTCTCCGCGCGCCGGGGAAGGAGGGCCCCGCGCAGCTGCGAGGGACTCCGCGCGGAGCTCCAGCAGTTTGATTTCGGAGCCCTGGAGTCAGGAGGAAAAGAAACACACAGACACAATTCATCTTCGATCCCCCAGAAAATATGGAAAATATGGGAAGTGGGCGGGAAGACAAAAACCAAGAAACTATGGGAAAATATGGGGAATCATTTTATTTGTGTGTGTATTTGTTTGTGCGTCCTTGGGCCCCTTCATAGAGATTGACACCAACGCCAAGATCGGCGGTGTGCCTCCACCGAGGGAAGACGATCCCGATCTCGGTGGTGGTGGTGGTAATAATTCTGGCTTCCAAGGTGACCGAGATATCACCACCACCACCGAGATCCAAGATCCTCATCTCCCTGTGGAGGCAAACCCCTGTGCTGCTGCTCCTAACCCCTGTGCTGGTGTTGGTGCCAATTTTCAGGCCTCCAACGGTTTCTGTCTGCGCAGGCCGTTTCCTCTGCCCCTGCCTCCTGCCGCCCGGGGCCGCGCCGGCGGCGCCATGAGCGCCTTCCTCGCCGAGGGCGCGTTCGAGCAGGCCCTGTCGAGGCTGCTGGCCCCCGGCGCCGCGCGGGCGCCCGCCGGGCCCGAGGAGCTCCGAGCCTGGGGCCCCCTCCCCTCGCAGGACCTCCCTTGAAGAAGGAGCACCTCGTTGCCTCTTCTCCTTCATCGTTTTCTTCTCCCTCCCCCTCCAATCCCCCATCCCGCCATCACATTTTATCGTCTCCAATCGTATCGGGAGCTCCCGTGGCAGAAGAGCACCCAGAACGAGCCCCTCCGTGACAGAGGGGGGCCATCTTAGGGCCCCTCTGTGACAGAGGGGGGGCCGAAAAACAAATGATCACTTCAATGCGGCATTTGGGGTACGTGAGAAAGAGCAGGCCTTCGCAGAAGGCGGCGGGACTTCTCAGGCGCCCTCGCGCCTCCGAGAAGCTTCCTGCGTCTTCGGGGAGGGCTCAGGACACTTATCACAGGGCCGGAGGCCTCGCGAGACTTCTGAGAAGGCCTGCCCCCTCTCACTTCCCCCCCAGGCGCGCCGCCGAAGAACGGCATAAACGTAAACTTTCGGAGCTCCGCGCGGACTTCCGGAAGCTTAATTGTTTATGCACTTTTTGTTTCTCTACTCCCTCCCTGCCTCGGAGGGCGCCAACTGTGGTCAGGGGCGGGCGTTCGCTGGGGGGGGATAGGCCCAGGATGGGACGCATCGACCCCCGATCTCAGGGCAAGAAGAGGTACCCATACCGCCACGCGCCCCTCTTCGCCACGCTGGATCCGCCTCGAAGTCTTGGTCGAATGTACCCTGGGAGAGATCCAGGGAGTAGCGGTGTGGGTATCTCATGGCCTTTGACCCAATGTTCGTTGGGATGTCGCGGGAGGCCTCTCGGCGGCCTTTCTGGGGGGCCGATCTGAGGCCTCTTGGGGGCCGTTTTGGGGCCTCTTGGGGCGTCTTGCGGGCCGCTTGGGGGCCTCTTGGGGTCTCGCG